AAGGAACTCCCGAATAATCTTTTCTGTTCAGGAAAAGGCCACTTTCAAGGATTCCAAATCCTACTTAGCTCATACTCATCCTTCAATTTCCAAGTCAAAATTCTTCCTTTTCTATGAAGCATTTCCTCTTTTCCATAATAGATTTATCCTATCTATCCTGTGCTAGGTAAAACAGAATAAATTTGTCTCTATCATTCAAATTGCTAATTTATTCTATTCTAGTGGCATAACTTATAATGAAAACCATTCCTCTTTCAGAAACAAACATCTCCTATCCATGGATCATAAGCACTTTCAGAACAGGGATTGTATCTTATACTACTCTACATCTCTAAAAATATCTTATACATGGCAATCCTAATATATAGTAAGTACTGGTGGTTGATGAACTAAATTCTAAGAGCCATGAGTTTCTTTTTAAATGCACAATTACCTCTGTTACGTCCCAATGGTGTAAAAATTGATCCAAGTCAGTAAGGTAAAGCAGCACAGGGGAAAGCTGTGTCTGGATGACATGAGGAACTCCTCGAAGGCTCTGAAGCCAAGTCAACTCCTCTTTTGAAAATCCTAATTTGGGTACAAAGAAAGCCAATTTAAAAAAATAAATCACAAAGCAAGTGGCATACTTATAATTCTTTTTAAATAGAGATAACATATATCTTCAAGTTAAATTCTTCTTTAAGCTACCTTTTTTTTCTGAATTTCTGCATTTCATGTAGTATTTTTAAAAATGAAATGCTAGCAATGGAGGTAGCAAAATTTATGTAATTATGTGCACAATGGATGTAACCTGACTCAGTATATAATACAGCAAGAAACAGGTTCTATCCCTTATGTTGGGGGCTTTACCATTTTTACTTAAATAAATGAAAAGGCATAATCATTCTAATTAATTGTTGGTTTAAAAAAGTAAATGAACAAGTAAAATAATAAACTCCTTCATACATGTATCAAACTCTGTGTTCTCTTACATAATGCCCCTTCAAATGTTTTAAAACTATTCTATCCCTAAGTCCTTTTTTTGGACAATGCATGTGCAGTTCCTTCAACTACACCTTATATAATAAAATTTCTGATTCTCTTACCACCTCTATTTTACTTGGCCTGACCTACACAGACAGCCTGCCAACAACTGAAAGAGCTCTTGGAATGATCAGGATACCAGCAATGTGGTCTGGCCCTAGCTGTCTGCTTTGATGTTTTCAGATCACTACACTTCCATGAACACGACCTAGAGTCATCTAGTTTGGAAGCCACACCACAGTACTGATTCCTAATGAGTCTCCTAAAACCACTGAAACCTTTTAATAGGTATTACGATTAAAACATGAAGACCCACCTCCATCTCAAATGTGTACATCCAAAACTATCATATAAACAGTCTACTTTTATTTTTTGTATAATAGTTATCTTGCTAGATTCAGCTCATTATCAGAACCTGTTAAATCCTTTTCGGATTCTTACCTAACTAATATTAACTAAGTTTCCTAATTTCAAGTCTTCAGAAAATTTCAAAGAATTTCATCTTCATCATACAAGTGTAAAACAAAAATGTTGAGATAGTACAATCATTTAAAACAATAATAATAACATTTATACACCTAAAGTAGTGTTTCTAGACTCATTAATTTTGCTTTTGAGGTCAAATGTAATGTAAAAAATGGCCAACTGAAATCTAATGCTCTTCCTATCATTTTAAACAAGTTTTAAATGGATAGTTCATCAACTTTTTAAAGTATGCAATGGGGTTTTCTCTCTGGCTATTTGAAAAAAAGTCAAGTATGTTCAATTCACTGTAAACAAAGATAAAAATAAAGTTGAGGGAAGTGGGTATAGCTCAGTGGTAGAACGCCCTAGGTTCTGAGTTCAATCTCCAGTACCTCCACTAAAAAAATAGATAGATAAAATAATTAAATCTATTCCCTTAAAAAAAAAAAGTTGAGAAATAAGACTAAGAAGAAAATGGAAATGTAATAAATTACGTGACATTCAAATAATCGTCAAGTTTTTGATACTTGTACTATGACTTAAAGATGAATCATGCATCTCCCTGCCTCAAAAGCTTGACAATGTAGGGTACAAATATTCCTTCAAAAATTTCCACTTATTAGTCAATAAAAATGATTCCAGGATAGATTATTTATCATCTTCAAAACTTAGAGCCAAACAGGTAAGACAGTACATCTTAGGAGAATCTTCATACTAGGTTTTTTCTCTTCCTTAACTTGGCAGGTAAATGTGGTTACCTGTAAGTGTTGAAAATAAGAAGCTGAAATAGTCCACATCACTTATCAACCAGTCTTTAACTGAATACTTCCATCCAGAAAATGATGATCTATAATAAATAGGAGAACTATTACTAGACGTGCCCAACTTAAAGACTCAAGAATAAAGCACAGTATATAACCATTTTTCTTTATTGAAAACAAGTCTGGTTTAAT